GTGCACATAACCAGAAGGGCCAGACATAGTTCTAGACACTGACAGTCAAGAGTCTGGGGGCGCTAGATGCAAACATGACATCGCAAATGTTAGTAAAACAGACACACAAAAGCAAAATAGCTGGCCTCATCCTGAAGGCCTGTAGCACAGCGCCCACAGTGCCTGGGTTTGGCCCTCGGCCTTTTCTGATGTCCTTAGTTTGGTTCAGCATCCCCTGAAAAGGATAAGGAGTTTCTGGACCACAAATCTCTCTCTTCCCTCTGAGTGAAGAGTTTCTTCTCTAGAAAGAAGCTCCCTGATGAACAAAACGTGCTTCTCACACCTTCACACCAAACACAGGAATGGTTGCCACAGCCCTCTCGCTATCCAAAGGATGCATGTGAGAGAGACCAGCTGTGTTTGCTTCACAGATGCTAGAGGAGGCCTGCAAGCTCAGCACCGAGAGGGAGAAATGGACCCTCACTTTAGCCAGGCTTGCTGCTAGGAGGGTGCCCTGGGTGATGGACAACAACAGGAGAGCCTCAAAACTCAGCCTGGTTTTTGTTTTTCCTGTGACTTTACACCCCCCACACCCATGCTGACTTCTGCTTTGTTGTAATGGCTGCCATGGGTGCCAGGAAACACCATCCCAACTTTTGCCTGACTGAAGGTCTACAGCAGTGTTTCTCAACCTGCAAGTCCCAACTCCTTTAGGGGTCGAGTGAGCCTTTCAGGGGGTCGCCTAAGACCATCAGAAAACACATTACAATTCATAACAAGTAGCAAAATTACAGTGAAGAAGTAGCAACAAAAATAGTTTTATGGTTTGGGGTCATCACAATATGAGGAACAGTATCAAAGGGTCAGAGCAAAGGAAGAAAAAGGTCGCGGCATTAAGAAGGTTGTGAGCTGTCTGCAAGCACAGAATGGGTGGGGCTCGGTTAAGACAGATGGGTCTACATCAAAAACAGAGCATTCCTGGTCCCTGAATGATTCTCAGAGCTCGCAGCCCTGGGTTTTGCCTCATGACTCAAGAGACTAACTTCCAGTCTCTGCAGCCTGGGTTATGGCCCTCTTCCCTCAGCAATGCCTCACTCTGGGGGTACCCTTGTGTGCTGTTCTGAGCTCTGGTCCAAAAGGAAAGAAGAAAACAACTTGACTTCAGCCTAAAGTTACAAAGGTCTCTGCTACAAAAAGCAGAGTTCTATGGGGGGGGGGGGATCCAAATAAACCTCTTCTGGACCTCTCCCTTCTAGTGCTTCTTAATGCTTAACGCTGCCACCATTTTCCAGGTTGTATGAAAGAAGACAAGAGGGTTATCTGATTTGGACCCTGTCACCAAATCCCTCTACTGGTAAGCTTTAGCCAGACCTTAGACCCAGGGCATAGAGAGAAGACCCTGCGAGGGCAGCCTGCCTTAGCCAGGCTCTCTTCCTTTCCCTGGGATTTCTGGGCTGCCATGAGAGCATAACTTTCACTTTCTCCTATTGTCACCATAGAGAACTCACAGCAGTTAGGGGCCCTTTCCCAGCACTCAGACCTGAAGGCCTCAGCCAGCATGTGGCCAAATGCTAGCACAAGCGCATCTCCAGCCAGGGTAGCCACACTCTCCAGTCAGGAGACACGGGGACACCTCCCAGCTGGTGGGGAGGCCAAACCCTATGCCTTGGGTCCTGGCCTCTCCTGCACCTGCCTCCCCACAGGTAGAAACTGAAGCAACATTGGTGAAGCCCCAATAGAGGCTAGCATTTAGATAAGATGACAGACATGCATACACACACAGAGGGAGAGAGAGAGAATAGGCCACAGCCGGGCAGCAGTGACACATAGCATTAATCCTAGCAGAGGCAGACAGATCTCCAAGTTTGAGGCCAGCCTGGTCTACAGAGACATAGAGAAACCTTGTCTTGGGAAAGCAAGGAAGCGAGGGAGAGAAGCTGGGTAACAGAGTTATACTTCACCTTGGAATGTCCAAGCCATTTTTTTAGGAAGAATCTTGGGGCCTTAGAACCGGACCAGTTTCATATAAGAGACAAAAGGTCTAGGCAGGGAGATGATTGCCCCGGACTGACTTGCCTCAGGTGTCTCTCAAGAGATGCTCTGTAGAACCAATACCCCAGAGTGGCCTAGGAGGCAGACCCAGGCCACACTATGAAGAGAGCTAACTCCTTAGTGTACAGAAGTCCTGAGAGTCCTCAAATACATCAGCTGCCTACCCTATGGAGGTCTAACAATCTCTCACCCACTCCCCAAATTTTATTGCTTCTTCCTTTCCTACTCCAGACACTTCTAAAAGGGAAATGCAGGCCCACAGCTCCCTGACAGAAAGCCGCTTTCAGACCCCCCTTCCTCCCAACCCATCTGCCACAGACCGCTGATGCTGAGTTTACCAAGAGCAGTTCTGCTTCCCTGAACCCCAAAAGAACACTCTCTGGAGAACCAGCAAGGACCACGACAGTGTGCTCTCTATTTTTCAGGACGGACTTCAACAAGGGAGGAGCTGGCCTCTGGGACACAGGATGCCATCTTGGGAAGAACAGGACTCAACACCCTGCTATAAGAAGGAGCGTGGTCTACAGCCTCAGTTAGGTTGGCTTTGATGGGGGAGTGACTGGTGGGATGAGGACCTGGAGGACTGGCTGTCTGCCGTGCCATCCCGCGGGTGCCCAGGCTCTCTTCAGGGCTCAGTCTCACCCAGCGTCTGTCCGTCTGTCTGGACGGACACCATGATGGCGGTCAGGGAAGATCAGCAGGGGACAGAGAGATCTACCACCTTTGGCAGCACTGCCACACAATGCACAAGCTTATTACCCTCATGGCACCCGAGCATGCAAATGTCAGGGAGGTAGACAAAGGCCAAGCATACAAACATTACAGCACAGCGCAGCACAGCTCCAGCCCTGCCTCCCCACAATAAGATTAAGAAACGGACCACCCTCTCTGCAAGGCCCAGTCCAGCTGCTTGGTAACCCCAAATCCCACAAGACCAAAGTCTAGGAATCCTGAAAATGCCTTCCTGCCAATGAAGGGGTTTACCTTAATCCATAAATTATGACTTCAAGCAGCACACCAGACCAGCTTGGTGTCTGGCAGGCCCCTGGGCCCAGCTGGCCTGCCCCTGCTTCCTGAGCAGGGGTCTTAGATTTAGCTCACTTGAAGTAGTGGTTCAAATTATCTCAAGTAGCAGTGCGATCTTCCCCTAACAAAGCAGAGAATTCTCTTTACTTCACCAGGGATACTTTGGTGATCTCAGACCGGGGCCAAAGAAACATCCTGACAGACACAGTCCCTGATCGGCCAGCTTCCAGCCAAGGAATTTAAGAGAGCAGTTGAATCTGTCCTGGTCACCCAGCCCTCCTAGATCCCGGATGACAGGACAAGGATGAAGAGTGTTCCCAACTGTGCAGACAGCGGCCTTTCCCCGCCTCCTGGCAAAGCTAGCTTAACCACATCCCATCTGCCCCACAGGCAGTGGTCCCCTCTGTGGTCATAAAACACATTCTCGAGAAAATGGCCCTCGGAAGCAGAACTGGAAGAGGAGCACTGTTGCTAGGGATGGTTTCACCAAGGTCCAAAGGAAGCCTGGAAGATGCTCCTTTCATTCCATAAACTGAGAGCATCCGAGGCCTCAGAGGCAGTGGATGAAGGTGACCAGTCTAATGGAAATCGCTACTCTCAAACATCACCACAACATGTCACCCAGAAAACGGAGGTGGACATTTCCCTATTATACAATCTCAGGCTAACTCAAGATTATTTTTACATGAAATTTGTTTGGCCTATTGAGAGTCTTTCTCTCTCTCTCTCTCTCTCTCTCTCTCTCTCTCTCTCTCTCTCTCTCTCTCTCCACACACACACACACACACACACACACACACACAGTATCAAAATGTTTGCTTCTATTCAAAGGTAGTAAATACTCTAAATCTTTTTCAGAAAATAGTCAACTCTAATTTTCATTAACTGGTTATAACTTTCTAGTGCCGCTGCTAGTGCCGTTCCTATTCTCCATTATGACGTCAGAGCCATCACTTCCAAAATCATCATCTAAAACAGAAGAGAGAGGTTTCCCATACAGAATCCAGAAATCTGGATGGACATCTCTGCCCAGTCACCAAAAGAAGATGAAATCCTATCAAGAGTAGCCACTTGGCGATTAAAAAAGAAGAAAAGAAAAAGCTGAAATTGTTGCATTTTCTGGTTACAGCTATTCACAGCCATACAAATTTCACATTCTAAAAGAAGGGAAATCTTTGTCTTAAGAATAAATTATACATGGATTATTTTCCCCTTGAGGGGAAATTTTACAGAATGTAAAGGACTCAGATGGGGTTCTTAAATAAATTAGCTGGGTCTAAATTGTCTTTATTGTCTATAGGGTGTGTAGTGTAACCACTGAAAAGGAAAATACCTATAAACCGTCCTGGACCTTGACATCCAGAACGAGGGCAGAAATAATGCCTCTCCCACAACCTAAAGGAGAAAGGGCAGCATGAAGTCAACGCTGTCCTGGAAGCCCCCAGCAGGAGCAGCCCAAATGATTTCTCTTTCCCAGTCATTGACAAGAGGTCCCAAAGGATGGACAGGCAGCAAGAAATCAAACCAAACACTTCTGTAGAGCAGGGATTCTGAAGATGAGAGACAGGCTTGCACCCTGCTCATCCGACACAAGTACTGGTCTAGGAGCAAGGATCAGGTCCAGGCTGTGTGTTTGGGTCTGAGAAAAGCATTTGTGTGTGGCTTCACTTCCCGTCGCTGTCACACTGCCAAAATATAACAGCAACACGCACAGTGGAAGGCACACTTGGGCCAGCACAGATTCCACAGCAAAGCATAAGCACCCATCGCCTCTTGGAGGGGGCTTTGCCTTCCTGGAAAATGGGCTTCAATCCCCTCGGAGCAGCCCTAGGACACTCAAGCCCTGACAGCCTCCTTCCTGCCTCTTAGGGCATCCTCTAGACACACCTCAGCTGCCTCTGCTACCCAAGTGCAGCCATTGCCCTAACTTCCTCCTATACCACCCTCTAGGTGCTTCTAAACCCGGCAGATCCTACCCTGTTCTGCACGCCTTGCCTCCATTTCACACACAGCCAAGAGAAAAATATTCTACTTCCCAGATCGTTCCTAATTGGAATCGATTATTTTAAGTCAGATCATTCCTAACTGAAATTGATTTTTTTAAGCTGGTATTGACATTTGTAGCACAATATATTCTTTTGGATAAAGCTTCCTTTTCAAAACTGAGATAGCATCACAATCGGGCTTGTGTAGAGGATGGGTTTATTCGCTCCCCACCCCCCAGTGGTTCCTTACTATTTGTAGATTCCCAGTGCATACTTCCGGAGAATCTGGGTACCACAGCCCTGCAGTGGGAGTGCCAGGAATTCAGTCACCCCGCGGTGCCACACCACCTCCAACTAAAAGGAGTATCCAATGCTAACACTTTTCTAAACACAGACACCCTTCTCCTTAAAGAGACAGCGTTTTGTACCTATGTTAGCAAATAAACATGGCTATAACATCCAGGGGCCGCATCTGCACAAGGCTTTCCGCGCCTCCTGTCCACGGTAAATGTGTGCATGAGTGAAGGAGTGTGTAAATATGAGTGTGAACTGTGTGATCTCCTCTGTGCAGGCGGGAGGCCATATTCCACCGTCCCTCCACCCTGGTGACAGGACAGGCTGAGGCTGTTTTTCAGCTGGGGTCCAGGGCGGCAAGGCCCTCCCCAGACCGCATGCTACCTGCAGCCGCAGGCCTCCACCACCATGTCCTCGTACTGCTTGTAGACCACGTTATTGGCGGCATCGATGTAGAGGATACTAATGGGGCTGAGGCGTGCGGGCACGCAGCAGGAGGCTGGCGCCGCGTCGGGTGCCATGGAGTTGAGCAAAGTCTGAATGATGGCGTGGTTGGTGGGTTCCAGGTGCGAGCGCAAAGGAAAGTCACAAACGCCCTCGCAGTGATACGCCTCGTAGTCTAAAGGAGCGATGATCCAGTCGTCCCAGCCCAGCTCCTTAAAGTCCACGTGCAGAGGCTTGCGGCTGCACCGGCTCCGGCCCCTGCGTCCATGGCCCTTGCCGCCACCTTCGCCGCTGCCCTGTGCTACCCGCGTCCCCGCCAGCGCCGTCCGCCTTCGCCTACGTCCGTTTGGGGTTGCTTTCCGAGACCCAGCGCCTGGTCCTGGATCCGGTGGCGGCTCTGCGGCTGCCCGGAGCGCGCGGGCTTGGGCGCGGATCTCCCGGAAGAGACTCTCTTTCCTCTGTGTACGGGAGGAGATCACCAACAGCGCGCGCTCCTCCGCAGCAGTGCCATCGCCGGTACTACCGCCGGACCAGCCAAAGCCCAGTCGTCGTAAGGCCAGCGGGCTGCTCCCGGTGCCAGCCACTGCGCGCAACACCAGGCAGAACTTGCGAGAGGCGCGCGGCTCGCGACGGAGGCTCTGCACCGCGTCCGTCACATCGAACTCTTCCCAGCGCGCAACTTCTAGGGGTTCGGCAGTCCGCGAGTGCAGTAGGTGGGATGTTTTGGTCACGTCGGGGCACGAGGATAGCTGCAACAGCGGAGGGAGGGTCGCACTGTCCTGGTCTGGCTCCGGAGATCTCCGACGCAACACGCGCAGCTCAGCACTTACTACCTCGTCCGCGTCGGGGAGGCTGGATAAATCGAAGAGAAAGCTCTGGCCGGGCTCGGTCGCCAATTCCTCTACGGGAAGGACAAAAACAGAAAGAGCTGGATGAGACTAGAGCCAATACACGCAGCCAAGGGGGTTGCTTGGTTTGGGTTGGCTGCCCTTGATACAACACAACATAACTCAGGAAGGCCCATCAAAGGGGACAGTCGTTCCCTAATCTGGGCTCCAGAACCATGGTTGCCAATCCTTTCTTGTCTCCTACACCTGAAGCTTTAGTTCTTCCGCTGCCACCGCTAACGATCACAGATCCACACACCTAATCTCTGAACTATGTGGGCCAAGAAAAAGTGCACCACCTCACAAAGGACAAACCTATGGCCTCTTTAGTTCTGCTACCTGCAAAAACAGCGCCTTGCCTTAGTTCAGACGACTTCTGGTCAGGGGCGCATTCCCCCCGCCCGGAGGACTTGCTCTATAAGAAAATTGTCCCTTACTGCCGGGCTGGGAGCCTCTAGAGAGCTGCAATTTCCCCCTGGCTGTACAAAAACGAAAAATTCTCATGTCCTAAAAACATTTTCTCCTTTGGTTCATTCTCTTCTCTCAGCCTAGCCTATTAGACAAATTGGACCCTGAGAACAGTTCAAAAACGAAATACGGCAGCACCACGACCCAGAACCCCTCTCCTCCGAGCCACCTTTTCCCTTCAGCGGAATGGAAATGAAGGCCCAGCAGGTAAGTCACAGGTTCTCCAAAGTCCACCCTGAGCTTTCATTGTTGGTCGCCCTCTTCGATCCCCATTCTTGGGGAGCACCACAAACGGGAGAGGAAAGGCAACGGGATGCAAAGAACCTTCATGGAAATATTAGAGGCAGCGATGGCTGCCACAGTGAGCGCTACATAGTCTTTGGCTCTGGTGTGATTTATTTCAGGCTTGGGGTTTTATTTCTGGACATAGGCCCTTTTTCTTTTGGGATGGACTCGGGCGAAAAAAAAAGTTTAAATTCCACAAAAGAGCAGATAAGGCATTGCCTTTGAAGAGGGTCATATGGTTTCGTTTTGCCCCGTTGCAGAGACCAGGCAGAAACTCCCCCCACCTTCAGGATTTGTTCACCAACCTTGGACACCAGGCCTTCATGCCTTAAGTCTACAGTCTGGGTGTACTGCTCAAGCAACTCTGTTCTAAACGGAAGCTGGTGGTAGCAAGCTAGAGAGAGGTGCTGGGCTGGATTTCGCTGCAGCCTCCACCTCACCCTGCTTCTCCAGGGAGGGAGGGAGGAAAGGTGGCTCACCTCTGGGTCTTGCTGGTCAAGCAGAGCTCCACCAGAGGACCTTAGGACACAGTACACTAAGCCAGAGCTAAGAAGTCTGATGATTCTGCGACCTTAGGGCCCTTCCCTCCTCTCACCTCCTGCAGTTTGAGAGCACCCTACTAGGTCTGAAATTTTTCCTGATTTTGTGTGGCGGGATTGGAGCTCCCCTGAATCAGTGCGGTGACAGACTTTCTGAAGATGCGCGCTGGTCCTAAGGGCCATTTGAGCCTGGGATTTCTATGGACCAGAAAGCAAGCTGTCTGTGCACGGCTACTGTGTGTGCTTCTGAGATGGGTGAGGCACGGTGGCCTCTGCCTGTTTTCCCACGCTGGTGGCAATGGCCTGCAGACTGTCGGTGGCTGCCGGACTTTACTTTCCTGGCCTATTTGTCTTCCTTTCCCTTCTGATTTCCAAGCTAGATCTTTGGCTGGGTAGAATTAAGGCCAAAATTGCTTGCATTTCCGCCTGAAATTAGTTAAATTTTCCCTATCTGTCTGTTTTAATGACTTCAATGGAGATTAATAAAAGCCAGATGATACACAGCAACTACCCCACAGTCCCACCCACACCCTACCTTGGAGGGTCCAGCACAGGGTAAAATGGGACGCTTGGGTTCCAGGCATCCATGTCCTCCCCACACAACCGAGTCCTGGAGTCTGGCCGCTCGGGCCTGGCAGACACAGATCGCTGGCGCCCATACTCACTTCCCACACACAACTCAATATCCACCCGATGCCTGCTGGAAGGGCCTTCCTGGTACAGACGGGGACCATTTCCTTTCATCTGCGACCTGTTTCTCTACACTGATTTCTCTTTAGCGCCCTTCAATTTGTGTATCCTCCCTGGGGACAAGGAGCATCACTGCTAGTCCCTCTTGTGGGAAGGAACTCCAGGGTCCTCATTCCTGTCCTTTCTTCTACTTTCTTTCTTCTCCAAGGGCTCCAGGCCCGAGGCCACTCTAGACCCTTCCCCAAGAAGGAGATCTTGAACTCAGTTTGCCTGCTTGAGAGAGACCTGCCAGTCTGCGGTCCCTACCCCTCCCCGCTCAGCCCATGGAAAGCAAGTCGCTACTTGGCGGGTTCGGATGCGCTGACTTAGACGAAGTTTCTAACATCTGAAGATGGGATTCACGGGGCCATGGCTCTGAACCCAATGGAACAGAAGCTTGCCTCCCCAGGACGTCTCAGGGCAGGAGCAGATGGGCCGGGGTGGCACAGAAGATACTTAAAGTACCTTGAGTTGCGTGGTCTATGAAGCCGGTGATCGTGTCCGCGCGGCCATGCCCCGATGCTGCCATGGCTGGAGCCCTCCCAGCCAGGGTCCGGTAAAGCGACATCATGAAATGGTGTGGCACCACCGAGCCGTTCCTCCGAGCCGGGACGAGGGTCCGTCCGCCGCCGCCGCCCCGGGAGCTCCAGGCTGGTCCTGCACCCGCCGCTCGGAGCACCGCTGCAGCCTCCAGCCCGTCGCGGGGACGGCAGGCGCTCAGCAGCCAGAGACACAGCGCGGCGGCGGCGCTCAGGTCCATGGGCTCCGTGGGCCTATCGGCCGCGCGACACGGGCTCCGTGGCTCCGGGAAGTCCCCCGACGCCTTTTGAACATAGTGTTTAATAATGGGGGAAGTGTGCGCAGCAAGCCGCTGCCCCCCTTCTCTCCCACCCCACCCCCGCCCAGCGCCCGGAGCAGCGCCCCCTGCTGAACGCTGGACCCGCAGCTCCGAGCCCCCCAACTCAGGCCTGTCGCGCAAAGCAGGGCAGGAGCCTCCTCCCCTGGTTGCAGCGCGGTGTCCCGGTTCTTGCCAAGTGAGGGCCACCCGCCCGAGGCTCCCGCCACAGCACAGTGCCCCGCCTTCCCTCCCTAAGGCATCGCAATCCCCCTCCCTGTCCCAAGACCTGAGCGCTCTCCTTGGCTGAAGGATGGGGCGTCGTGCGTACCCGCCCAGCTTTCTCCCCACTCCTCCACGGAGAAACACCGCCCTCCCCGCTATTTTGCCTGTGCTTAGGTTGCCAGGCCGAGGCAAGGCTGGGCCCTCCCATTCAACTTCCTCGCCTTGCGCCCCCTTGGTGGACGCTCACTAGGAAGCACCGAGATCGTCTACTTAGGGATGTTTACTGTGAGTCACTGCCCTCTGAGGATCGCAGTGGGAGGTCAGAGCAAGGGAGAGGATCTGTGGCGAAGGGCAAGTGACTGGAGCAACAGGGTAGAAAGAGACAGATGGATACGGACCGACTGTCGGAAAAGAAAAGACTTGCGTGGGAATCTTGGGCCAAAGCAGGAGCCAAAGTCTTAAAGGGCTTGATGAATTAGGAAGGCCTCTGGGCATAAAGTAGCTGACTCCCGGGCAGAGTAAGGTCTGTGTCCGAAAGTGCAACCAACGTGATGACCTCTTTACCCTCTGGGGCGGGGGACCACATTTCTCCAAGGTCGGCGGGGCAAAAGGCAGCAGGCAGCTTGTATGTTCGCTTGTAGTTACAAGTCAAGAGGGTGAGCAGCAGCGCCTTGGAGCAGCGCTCTAGGGCCACGGTGGAGAAGGTTTCCACCTCCGTCCTATCAAGTATGGGACACCCGAGCATGCAGACACTGGGGATCTTATTTGGCTAGCCCCTGTTCTAAATAAAGAGTGGACTGCCCTGAGGTCGACCGAGCAACTGTCAGACCGGTTTGAGGGCCTGGACCACACCCCCTTCCCTTTACTTTAAAATTGCATTGGGTTCTCAGTAGTCCTCATTGTAATGGCAATGGGTTTTTGATCCTACTGCACGTATTGGCTTTGTGGGAGCCTAGGCAGTTTGGATGCTCACCTTACTAGACCTGGATGGAGGTGGGTGGTCCTTGGACTTCACAGGGCAGGGAACCCTGATGGCTCTTTGGGCTGACCGAGGGAGGGGGACACGATTGGGGGAGGGGGACGGAAATGGGAGGCGGCGGTGGGGGAAGAGACAGAAATCTTAAATAAATAAATAAATAAATAAATAAATAAATAACCCAAAAAAATAAAAATAAATAAAATTGCATTGGGTACCAAACTGAACATCGACACCGGGGCTGTGAGTCTGCAGGTCAAGTGCTATCTAAAAGTTCCTTCCGGATCAACTGTGGCCCAGGTTCAGGAGATGAAGGAGTACACTCCCACCCTGCCCTGCGAATCAGAGACAGAGCTCAGTCTTGGGTGTTGGGATGTTTGGGAGCTGGAAGAAATGCCCTGACCAGTGTCAATACTTGCAGGGTTCCATGGAAGCTGTAAGACCTGAACTCGCCTGCAGCAAGCACATGTGTACCTGGACCAAAGTTTGTGCTGCCTGCCTGCACACAGCCTTCCTGCTGTTGCCCAGATGGTGGACAGCTGGGATGGACAACCTGCCTTCGGAGCCCAAGTTGGGTGCCCAGAGGAAGTGACTCTGGTAGGACAGAGACTTCTTACTGTAATTCTCTTCCCACCTTCCGGTCCATGGACACAAGGGCCAGCCAAGAGTCTCTCTGTTCCGAGGAACACTGGGTCCTGTTACCTCGCTGCCCTTCTTTCTACTGTAGGCACTCATGTCCTGCATGTTTCACAAGTCCATTCCATGTTGGAAAACACTGAGAGTCCTGGGCTGTCATGGTGCTTTGCCCATTAATCATCTTGGCAAGTCCCTCACTTGTCTTGGCTTCGGTTTCTCCCTTGTACACAGGGAAGAGTGGAGGGGACCTGGCGCTATCAGTGCACTGCATGTCACCTCTGATCGTAGGCCACCTCAGGACTCAGGAAGTTGGGATAGATTGGTGATCCGTCCTGCAGCAGTAAGCCACATAGCTTCTTTGAGAATGAATGTCCTGGTCTCTGAGTCTTTGTGTACCTGAGACACAGACTGGAACAGAGGTTACTAGATAACTTTGTCCCCCTCCCCCAGGATATTCTGAATGCTAACGGCTTCCATGCCATGGACGGCATGGAGGTGGGGCTCACACAACCCACCAGCTGTATGTAAAGCAGGGTATAGTCTCTTCATTTGTACTTCTTGGTCCAGACCCCTTCATCTATCCATCTCTCCACTCCTTCCTTTTGTTTGTTATTGCTAGCACCCTACTGTGTGTTAACGAATTCAACCAGTACTGCAAACAGACTCATTGAGAGCCAGGGAGGGCAGGAGAAACAATGAACGGTAACACACAGCGACTAACATACGTACTGCCGAGGACACTCTGAGCACCATGAAGATAGGAAAGGTCTTTGTGACCAGCAGAGAACACCCTGAGGCAGAACCCCAACAGAGGAAAGCATGGGGGTGGACGGAATATAACTGATTCCTTCCCCTTACTTCTGCTTAAGTGATGCTAGGCACTTGTCACCTGTCCATTGCTTATATGCCCCATGCCATGTCCTCCGGACTGCTGCTCTATCCAGTAACAGGGATTAGCATATCATTTGCTAGACTGGCCAGTCACCCAGACATTAAGGCTTTGCCCAGGGTCAAGTGGGAAGTAGCAGAGTCTGGAGTGTCAAACTGTCTTGGCTCAGCTTTGGGCTTCCACTGCCGCAAGGAGGTGAGATTGTGGGGGGTTTTGGTCTGTTAATTTCCTCCATGACCCTCTCTGGCCCTCTGGAAGCTTCTCAGCAGAAAAGGGATTCTAAAGTCCGATGAGGATTATGAGAGAATTACCCCAGTGGACTCTTCTCTCTTCCGTGAGCTGGGAACTCACTGCACTGACACACACACACACACACACACCCCGAACAGGGCCAACAGCAGGGCTCACCTATCCTCCCTCTGACTCCCTTGCCTCGGGCTTCCAAAGGCCCATGAATGAATTCCTATCTGAAGGGAAAATGCAGAAGACAGAGAAAAAGGTCACAAGATTCCCCCGCCACTCACCCTTCTCTGCCTACAGCTCACTAAAGTCCTTCTGTCTAGTAGATGGTCCCTCTTGGACCCTCAATCCCAAAGCTAGCCCAGGCATGCTTGGGGTTCATTTTGTGTGCAGGAAGCCCTTGGCAACTGTCTGGGCAGTAGTGAGCCAGAGATCCGAGCCAGAAGATGTTGGAGCTGTGTTCTGCTGCTGGCTATACACATTAGAAGGAAATGCTTGCCCTGAGTTTTGTCGTAAGACTCACTGGGAAGTGGCTGCAGAAACCCAGTGGCAGATGGCCAAGTTCAGGGCTGGTGGGGAGCAAGCCAGACAGGAAGTCATCACTCTGTTCTCTGTCTCTGTGGTGATCTGCCCCCTGCACAGTCAGGAAAGGTAGGGGTTTGCATTCTCACCCCCAGGTCCTCTCCCTAGGGATGGGTTGCCTGTCTATCGCCCCTGCAGAAACTATCGGCTCACTCTGAGCCCCGGCTTCGGCCACAGATCTTCTCAGTTATTTAGACCAACTTTCCTTGCCAGGCTTCAGTCATAACAAATGGCTGCCCGGGCTGCATTTGCATAACCCAGGCAGCCTCCTCAGAGCTGAATGGAAAGCAGTTCCATAGGCTGCACCCGGAGAGCCATGGCTTTCAAATTCACCTTGCTGAGAGCGAGTTTGCTATGACCTGAGAGCATGGTCTTTGAAATCCGGTCTTAGAACATATCACAAGAGTTGCGGAAAAAAAAAAGAGTTGCGGTGACTTCTGGGTACTGGAATTTAAAGAAGCCCCAGCAACTGGCAATAGCATGGCCTTGATGATCCTCCCGCCACACCCAGACATCTAGCCCTCCTGTGTGCTGACAAGGGAAGTGGAGGTCCCTTAGAAGTCATGAGCTGCGCAGCCTAGAGAGGAAGCCAAGCCTGAGGCAAAGAGAAGCAGCTCACAGCCTGTCCTTTGGCATCACAGCATTTTAGACCCATGAGACCTTTCAGAGTCTGGCTGACCTGACACTTTGCTCTCCACTGCAGCTCAGAGACTCCTGGTTCTGCTCTGCTCAGGGCCCCAGTGGATGACTTGAGGAAGTGGGATGAAGGCCTCTGTCTTGGTCACTGTCACTCTGGCTCCCTGCATCCACACAAAATGAAAACACTCAATGTGTCCTCCAGAAAGCCAGGAGACCTGAACTGAAGCCATCCCTTGAACATCTGGTTGCAAGTCCCTCACCCTTCCTGGCTTTGCCCCCTGCCAGCTTTAGTGAAACTGACAATCACAGTTCAACGGAGGGACAGTAAAAAGTGGAGGAACCACGACAGCAGGACCAGGAGTGTGTCCTCTGTGTGGACGCACCATGACCTCTGACCTCCAATCCAGAGCAGAGAGAGGGTAAAGGGAGAGTGGGTCCTGGCTTAGGTCTCCCTGAGGGGGGATAGAGAAAGAGAGGTGACAGCAACCAACCCCCCTACTCCCCCCCCCCCCCCCCCCCCCCCCCCCCCCCCCCCCCCCCCCCCCGCAGACTTGCTCTTCCTTCTCTTCTGATAACTCTGGCTCCTCTACCAGCCCCTAGGAAGGCTTAAGTCTCTCCCAGAAAGACCTGGGACAGAAGAAGTAAAGATTCTAGCAGCTTCTGAGAGCAGTACCCCTGTATGCCCAGGGCCAGTCTTCCTCAAATTGCACGAATTTCCCATGCTTAACCTATAACTAGGCTGTCCAGGTTGCCCCAAGCAACAGCTCTGGCATTCACACTGGGGTCCTCAAAGCCCTG